GCATACCTGCAAAAACAGAATATTCAAGGATATAATAATATTTCAATGTAGGGTAATAGCTTCTTGATCCAATGATTAATCTGACTGCAATTCTGGGGTCAAGAAAGATATTTTTTTTTCCTAGTTTGTTGCAAAATTGGAAGTGGGTCTGGTTTACCTTCAAGAGTTAAATTGTTAACTCCATTCATCACATCCACTTGCGTCCAAGGCTTGCAACAGGAAGCATCAGACTAGGCGCGTGAAGTTGTTATGGTGCCGGAGTGTTCCTTTAACTATTGTTACTGTAGTTATTGTAGCAGAATGGAGACCCTAACTACACTTTTATTCCCATTTGTTCGGCTGTCCGTACACCCCTGTTCGCTTACCGAACCAACTTTGTGTGGTACTCTGTTAACACCTTACAATCATCGACCACCCCTGGCTGTTAACTACAAATTGCTCATTAGTTCATGTGTTTCCCTTGTGTGGTCGCCGTTTATATAACTGAACACACGTGCTCCAAAAGTTTTGTCTGCCTGAACGCAGGCAGCGGTACGTGGTCGTCGACGGCCTTGAACTATTTTCGGATAAGCGACCCCGCTAACACCCGGGAGACTAGTACCGCTGCCCATCCAACTTCACGAACTATGGGAGAACAGCATTCAGGAGGCATGAACTACTGAACAGCGGGAGCATTCGCTCCCTAACGGCCAGGGGAAGCATTCATCTGTGTTTCTATGAGATCCCCGAAAGATGACTGGTCGTTGCCTTGGTCTCCATGGAACTGTTTCGGGGCATCACCTCGTGGCCGACCAGTCTAAACTTCATTTGAATGGTGTTTCCAAACCACCAAAGGGATCTAAGTGCTATTTCGACAAAGTGGGCACTCAGACCCAAGCTATGAGTGATATGACTTTCGTGGGGTACCTAGGTTTTTAAAATGCATTTTTATGAGAGATAATTGAGTTATAGTTTTTTTCACTCAATTTTCTCTCATAAACAGAGAATCTTGGGAGGAAAACCCTTGTGAGTCTGATGTGGAGACCCCATGCTAGGGGTCAGGGCATAAAAACCGTGTGTGGCCAAAATAAACTCAGTTGAATCCTAGAACTATGTGTCATCTAGTTGCTGGGGAAAAGGGTCTTGCATTATTACTGTGCTACTTTCAGCTACGAGGAAGGACTAGTGGAGATACCTATGCTGGGTATCCAGTTATACGATTAGTATACCTCAAGTAAGCTAATTCTCAACTATAGGCACACACTCTCAGAGGTATTTACTAAAGTAAGAATTTAAAGTGAATTTTAAGTGAATTTTAAATTGCAGGTGAAAATGTCCAAAAAGTTAGCTATGCTTACAGTTCAACCATGTTAGCCTTAAATTTGAAATTTACTTTGAATCCTCACTTTAGCAAACTTTTGTCTCACTTGTTTGATATTCACCAGCAACTCTGAAAAGTTCTCAATGTATAAAGGAGGTATGTGAAACATGTAAATAATACACTGACTTCATACTATATTAACAGCGTAATTACTTTAATTGCACAGGAGTCATCTAGTCAGGAGGATAATATTTCCATTAATTATTTATTTATTTTTTGCACTGAAACATTTAATTATGATCCATAATGAAATTGGCACCAGCATTTCTATTTTCTTTTAATGCATAATATTAAAATATTCATTCCAAAAGACAGGATACAGAATGTTTACCTGCCATTTGAAAAGAATAGTGACAGATTTTGGGAGGAGTATTTCGGTGGAAGAGAACGTATTCAGATTGTTATATAATGCTCAAATCTTTAGTAACAATTTACTATTTAAAAAAAGTAAAAAGAAACACAAAAAGAAAGCAAAGTCGAGACCAAAAACACGCAATATCAGAAGCCAAAGAGTTGTGATTTGCTGAGTGTAGTTTCCAAGTTTGTTGCACAGGAAAAAAGAGATTTGTCTTTAAACTTTGACGATGTGCAATTTATAAGGCATTTATTCAGTGTTCATAAACTATGGGGCAATAGCTTATGTAGGTCTCACTGTGCTAGCAAATGCCTTGAATTACTCTTGTCTTGTGTAGAGTTGATACCGAACGTTACATTTTTTGGACCCCGAACCCAAACACGGACATATCACTGTATGTTCGGGTTGGAGTTCGGTGTTCTGCGATTTAATGGCACGTTTTGAAAGGCTGCAGGGCAGTCAATCAACAAGCGTTTGACTCGTTTGCCCTTAGAAGCCATCACAGCCATGCCTACTAATGGCATGGCTGTGATTGGCCAGTGCAGCATGTGACCCAGGCTCTATATATAAGCTGGAGTCACGTAGCGCCGCACGCACATGAGCTCTTATTAGTGTAGGGACCAGCCTGTAGTGTGTTTTTCCACTTTAATTTTGAGTGTGAATCCAAATCCAGACCTCCATGGGTTGAAAAATTTGATTTCCATTTTTTAATTTTTGTGTGATTTTGTTGTCAGCACATTCAACTATGTAAAGAACAAAGTATTTCAGAAGAATATTTAATTCATTCAGATTTAGGATGTGTTATTTTTGTGTTCCCTTTATTTTTTTGAGCAGTGTATATATTTATTGATTTTTATTTGTATTTGTTTAAACATGCATACATTATACGTGTGCTGCTGGAGCCTGCTGATATATGCAATATTCAAAATTCAGATCACCCACTCACTAACCAGCTTCAAATCTCACAGAATTACATATACTGTATATATAAGGTATTGAATATAGAAAGGATCTGACATTGACATATTGGTCCATTATTAGCAGTTTCAAGGCTGATTAACTCAGTGGGTATGATCCGCATGATTCAAATTTCTTCACGTATGAATCAGAAGATGAATAGCGATAACATCTCCTCTTCAGATTCAAAAGTGAATATCACATAATTGTTATTTTATAATCTAGTGCAACTAAATAAATGATCCTATTGGGCTGTATCTGGCAATTAACACAACATGGACAGTGTAATGTAAAAGGGGAGAAGAGGTGGAATAAGAGAAGAAGAACTGGGAAAAGTGTAGGAATACATAAATAATAATCACAAAAAGGCATAAAAGTGTATAGTTACACAGAGTGTATTATTTATGGAGCTTGGAATTGAGTGTTTTAGAAAGATATTCAATATTATCCACACACTCAGCCAATCCATTCACACACTCAGTATACTCCACACACTCAGCCAATCCATTCACACACTCAGTATACTCCACACACTCAGCCAATCCATTCACACACTCAGTATACTCCACACACTCAGCCAATCCATTCACACACTCAGTATAATCCACACACTCAGCCAATCCATTCACACACTCAGTATATCCACACACTCAGCCAATCCATTCACACACTCAGTATACTCCACACACTCAGCCAATCCATTCACACACTCAGTATACTCCACACACTCAGCCAATCCATTCACACACTCAGTATACTCCACACACTCAGCCAATCCATTCACACACTCAGCCAATCCATTCACACACTCAGTATACTCCACACACTCAGCCAATCCATTCACACACTCAGTATACTCCACACACTCAGCCAATCCATTCACACACTCAGCAATCCATTCACACACTCAGTATACTCCACACACTCAGCCAATCCATTCACACTCAGCCAATCCAGCCTCAGTATTCACACACTCAGTATAATCCACACACTCAGCCAATCCATTCACACACTCAGTATACTCCACACACTCAGCCAATCCATTCACACACTCAGTATACTCCACACACTCAGCCAATCCATTCACACACTCAGTATACTCCACACACTCAGCCAATCCATTCACACACTCAGTATAATCCACACACTCAGCCAATCCATTCACACACTCAGTATTATCCACACACTCAGCCAATCCATTCACACACTCAGTATACTCCACACACTCAGCCAATCCATTCACACACTCAGTATACTCCACACACTCAGCCAATCCATTCACACACTCAGTATACTCCACACACTCAGCCAATCCATTCACACACTCAGCCAATCCATTCACACACTCAGTATAATCCACACACTCAGCCAATCCATTCACACACTCAGTATACTCCACACACTCAGCCAATCCATTCACACACTCAGTATACTCCATCAGCACACACTCCAGCTAATCCATTCACACTCAGTATACTCCACACACTCAGCCAATCCATTCACACACTCAGTATACTCCGCACACTCAGCCAATCCATTCACACACTCAGTATACTCCATACACTCAGCCAATCCATTCACACACTCAGTATACTCCACACACTCAGCCAATCCATTCACACACTCAGTATACTCCATACACTCAGCCAATCCATTCACACACTCAGTATACTCCACACACTCAGCCAATCCATTCACACACTCAGTATACTCCACACACTCAGCCAATCCATTCACACACTCAGTATAGTCAACACACTCAGCCAATCCATTCACACACTCAGTATACTCCATACACTCAATCAGTCCATTATCCCTTCACACACTCAGTATAATCCACACACTCAGCCAATCCATTCACACACTCAGTATAATCCACACACCTAGTCAATCCATTCACACACTCAGTCAATCCATTCACACACTCAGTATTAACCACACACCCAGCCAATCCATTCACACAGTCAGTATAATCCACACACTCAGTCAATCCATTCAAACACTTCTCATTATCCACACACTCAGTCAATCCATTCATACACTCAGTATAATCAACACACTCAGCCAATCCATTCACACACTCAGCCAATCCATTCACACACTCAGTATTAACCACACACCCAGCCAATCCATTCACGCACTCAGTATAATCCACACACTCAGTCAATCCATTCACACACTCAGTATAATCCACACACTCAGTCAATCCATTCAAACACTTTTCATTATCCACACACTCAGTCCATCAATTCACACACTCAGTATAATCCACACTCTCATGCAATCCATTCACACACTCAGTATAATCTACACTCTCAGGCAAACCATTCACACACTCCTCATTATCCACACAGTCAATCCATTCACACACTCAGCCAATCCATTCACACACTCAGTATTATCCACACTCTCAGTCAATCCATTCACACACTCAGTATAATCTACACTCTCAGGCAATCCATTCACACACTCCTCATTATCCACACACTCAGTCAATCCATTCACACACTCAGCCAATCCATTCACACACTCAGTATTATCCACACTCTCAGTCAATCCATTCACACACTCAGTATAATCTACACACTCAGTCAATCCATTCACACACTCAGCCAATCCATTCACACACTCAGTATAATCCACACACCTAGTCAATCCATTCACACACTCAGTCAATCCATTCACACACTCAGTATTAACCACACACCCAGCCAATCCATTCACACAGTCAGTATAATCCACACACTCAGTCAATCCATTCAAACACTTCTCATTATCCACACACTCAGCCAATCCATTCACACACTCAGCCAATCCATTCACACACTCAGTATTAACCACACACCCAGCCAATCCATTCACGCACTCAGTATAATCCACACACTCAGTCAATCCATTCACACACTCAGTATAAGCCACACACTCAGTCAATCCATTCAAACACTTCTCATTATCCGTACACTCAGTCAATCCATTCCCACACTCCTCATTATCCACACACTCAGTCCATCCATTCACACACTCAGTATAATCCACACTCTCAGGCAATCCATTCACACACTCCTCATTATCCACACACTCAGTCAATCCATTCACACACTCAGCCAATCCATTCACACACTCAGTATTATCCACACTCTCAGTCAATCCATTCACACACTCAGTATAATCTACACTCTTAGGCAATCCCTTCACACACTCCTCATTATCCACACACTCAGTCAATCCATTCACACACTCAGCCAATCCATTCACACACTCAGTATTATCCAGACTCTCAGTCAATCCATTCACACACTCAGTATAATCTACACACTCAGTCAATCCATTCACACACTCAGCCAATCCATTCACACACTCAGTATAATCCACACACTCAGTCAATCCTGATACATAATGGTAATACTTTAGAACACTTTCTGGTATGAATTCAAAGATATGGAAAAACTTGGATAATGAAAGTCTGACAGCTCTGAAGAAAACGTTATTACATGTTTTATCTAGAAAAGTTAAATTTCATCCCCATTTCAATCTAATTTCCAGGCTGAAAAAAAAAATAGCCTATAGTACGGGGCACATAATACGTGTTAGCAACTTCCTAGCATCTAATGAAATAAAAAGAACTAAGAGAGATCTAAAATACTAAAAGAAGTGGTCTAACATGGATATTGCTAAGCAAACCGAAACAATCTAAAATGTATTTACAGGTGGCATTAAAACTGTGAATAAGAAAGATAATATGGTTTTAAAGTGGACCTGTTATCAATGTCATCATTGAACTTTGTTGCAGTAACACTATTTAACCACTGGAAATGGTTATGGTGCTTACAACTTCCCTTCACCACTAAGATCCCATGCAGCTAGCAGGAATATGATGAAACTAAGATGAGGATATGTTTTGTCCATGTCTCCTCTGACTCTTTTTACACCATTGCTCCAAACCAAGTGGAATTCTAGTGTTGATGTTGAGTATAAATTGGAACCGAAGGGATCAGTGGAAATCTGACAACACTACAATAGTAGCTTGGTAAGGGGGTTGCCGTTTTAATTGTAGGAGGGTGTGCGCAAAAAAATGCTTAAACCATTGGTCCGGATAAAATGCCTAGTAGCCATTAATAGAATCAGTTCCAGAATTTTGGCCATTCATAAATGAACCGAATCGCCTGACTCAAAATCCTTTCTCGGGTAGTGGACTGAAAGGATTTTTTGGACGACTCAGTTTGTCGATGAATAAACTGAGTATCGGAAACAATTATTTTGTCAATCAACAGGCATTTTACTCGGAGTATTTACTTAAAGGGATTCTCCAGTGCCAGGAAAACATATTCATTTTCCTGGCACTGTAGTGCCCCTCTCCCTACCACCCCCCATCCCAAGTTGCTTAAGGGGTTAAAACCCCTTCAGTGACTTACCGGAGTCCAGCGCCAATGTCCCTCGGCACTGGGTCAGGCTCCGCCTACTCTCCTCCCCCGCTGATGTCAGCCGGCGGGCGAGACCTAATGCACATGCGTGGCAATGGCCCCGCACGCGTATTAGAGTTCCCCATAGGAAAGCATTATTCAATGCTTTCCTATGGGGATTTTGGCGATGCTGGAGGTCCTCACATAGCGTGAGGATGTCCAGCTTCGTATAACACACTTTTCGTGTTCTAACAACACAGAAGTCCCTCTAGTGGTTGTCTGATAGGGCAGAAGTGGTCTGGGTGCCTGGAGTATCCCTTTTGCACGTCTAGTAGGGGGCCAGTGGTTGATTCTTACTGCTAGAGAGACGACGGCAGAGTTCAAAGAAATAATAAAAGCTGCTCCCCAGAGAAAGTCCAGCGATTTTCCCTAGTGTCCAGTCCAACGCTGGGTATCGTAGCTGTAAATCTTGTTTGCTTTCATTGCTTTTACCATTGCTTTTCGATTTTGTTCATTATTCAGTTATTTGCTTTGATTTCAGGGAATGTAGTATATTGGAGTAAAAATACTTTTCAAATTTAATCATTTTAAAATAGCATCCATTAAAAATGTTTAAAATGTGTGACTTAAAACTAAGAATACAAATAAAGCAGCACTGTTACAAACTATTACGTGAACTATATTCATCCAATGTATCTGGACAGTAAAATATTACTAACAAGAAAGTTAATTAGTAATACCATTATTATATCATTGTTGTAACGTGATATTAGGCTGAGCCATATCATGGCTGAGGTTTTCTTAAAGTAACGTTTGCTTGTTGCAATCCAAAAATATACAAACTCCCATAAAATAATAATAATGGATAAATAAATAAAATCACATGGGAAAAGACACAAAACAAAACATGTGACTTCAATTAACAGCACTACGGAATCTGATGGCGCTGTATAAATAAAATAATAATAATAGTAATTAAAAAATGTAGGACTAAATTGTCCTGGTTTGTAGGTAGAAGTTCAATTTAGTCTCTAAATCATGAGATAATTGGATCATGCCACCAGCTGTCTGATCAGTGCTCTATATATTTTTGTATTTTTAAAGGGGAACTTCCTAGGATTTTTAATATGACATTTAGCTATCACTTATAATTAGCAAATACACGTTTGTGAGGCCTGGAAAAAAAATGTAATGTACAAATCCACACCGCAATATTTATCTTTATGCTGGAACTGAGTGCCTTCATCTTGGCTCCCAGTCAATCATTGTGATAAATGTTACCCTTTTCTGCCTTTGGGGAAAGAGAAACAGAAACAGTATTTCTGTATTTTCTTCTCATTTGCATTGTGTGCCCTTGCAGTGCCTTGTGCCTTTTTCACTGGATTGAGATTACATTACACATTATAAATCATTAATATACATTTATACAAAAACATGTTATCTCATGAAATTGGTTAATACAAGTTGTAGGTGATTTTCAATGTTTTATCCAATGGCGTAATTTGCAAAGACGTAACAGTTCTTAACAAAGAATTTGTGTTATACATTATGTAAAGATGGTTGGCAAGACTTTCCCTATTTTTAATAACTTGCACAGGTTGGGCAAATAAGGATGTTTGATTGCTTACATGCACAACTTTAATAATTAATTTAAATTAATAACCAAAAGACAAACAGTAGCAACAGGATGCGCCTAATGTCTACTGTTAGAGTGGAAAATTATGAAAAATTTTTGCTTTTTGCCAGATTTTTTATTTTTTTTTGTGATACATGGTTGTTTCGGAGATACATGTGAAGAGACAGAGAGAGAGCAACCAATGGTGCAGTAAGATTAAACATGAGTTGAAATTCAAATTGCAATTATAGTTTATGCTATCAAGAGGACCATAATAAATATCTGCCAATTTAGTCAAGTGACAGCAAAATGTGTGTTTTAAAAACGGGAACAGCATCACCAACGCCATACGCATATGGGACAGGACGGCTCAGAAATTCCACCTGTCCTCTGCACCATCCCCGCTCATGCCATTCCTGAGAAATAGGGCTTTCCCCCCTAGCTTGATTGCACGTAACTTCAAGCGAATTGAACAAGCAGGCCCACAGAGAATATGCCACCTATACGACGGGGGAGCCCTAATAACTTTTGACACAGTTAGGCAAGGACAACACCTCACCCCGGTGGACTTCTTCAGGTATCTCCAAATTGCAGATTTCGCTAGGCAACCCCATATCAAAACAGCCGCATTAGCTACCCGCACCTTTTTCGAAAGCATATGCCTCAAAGAAAGACCCCCTAAGGGTCTCATTACACTGCTATATGCCCACCTATGCTCTGACACTACTGAATGGGGCACCCTGACATACACATCTCACTGGGAGAGAAACCTGGGGGAGGTCCTCGAGGGAGTGGAGTGGCGGGAGATTTGGGAGGCCAGCAACACCTCCTCTATCTGTGTCTCCATGCAGGAGCAATCCTTTAAAACCCCATTTAGGTGGTACATCACCCCGGTCCAACTATGTAGAATGCGTAAATCACCTTCTGACCTGTGCTGGAGGAACTGCGGCCTCAGGGGTACGTACACCCATATGTGGTGGGAGTGCCCTAAAATCAGACCGTTTTGGAAAGACGTTAGAGACATATTGGAGCAAGTTTTCCAAAGTAACCCCCCCCCCCGCTGGACCCATGGATATACCTCCTGAACAGGTCAATAGACGACTGGCCGAGACAGGACCAGCGTCTACTCCAAAAAATTACGTTAGCTGCCCGTAGAGCTATTGCACAACACTGGCTAAAAACCCAGCCACCTTGCAGGTCAATGGTGATTGGGAAAATAAAGGACAACTGCCTCATGGACGACCTTACTGCTAGGGTACAGGGTACGCAGAGGAGGTTTGAAAGAACTTAGGGGCTCTGGAGAGAGAGAAAAGTTGCAGACTGAGCAGAGGGCGGGGGAGCGGTTGGCGCAGGCCTCCTCCCTCCTCGCCGTCCTGCCCCGGCTCCCTTCCCCGGCCGTCCCTTCCCGTCCTCCTCCCCCCCGCCTGCACGCCCGAAGCCGAAGCATCGCCCCTTCCCCCTTCCTCCCTCTCATGCTCTATTACTATCTCTATCTTCCTTCTGATATATCCATCTCTCTCACTCTCTTTGGCCCCTGTCTCCTCAGAGGGCCCTCTGTCACACACAGATAGCACCCATAAGCGTAGATCACATTAGGAAGCTAACAGTAGCCTTGTCACCCGGCTATAAAGGGCAGAGTAGTAGAGGGGGGGTGGTGGGGTAGAGGCAAAAACTGAAAGGACATAGACAATAGCAACAGGTACCAATAAAGGGGACTCATACTAATGCTGTTGGAAGCATACATCGCGATCCCCATTAGCGAGAGGGAGCCACTGACCAGCCCCACCACCTGTGACCTCGATCATAGCTACTCTTTAAAACCCATAGCAGATACTTGAGATGGTCTTAATCCCATAGCCAGTCCGAAGGGACGAACAGGCTAGGCTACTGGGCACGTAGTTATAACCCACAAGGTCACTAGCCCTACTCCAACTCATGTTGACAGTCTCAAAAAACCTCGGCTTGAACGTACGACTAATGCAGAACCCCTAGTACGCAGCACTACTATCTGAAAGTTAACGTAATATCAAAACTGTGCCTCTGTTACATGCTATGTATATGCCTTTCCTCTTGTTGTTCCTATTTTATGCATATGTTGTCGTGGCAAAACACGACCTCCTGTACCATCTTGTGCACAGACAAATAAAGAATTTTAAAAAAAAATTTAAAATCGGGAACAGCAGTCAGGCGGGCTACCAGTTTAGAGACACTTGTCTCTCCTTCACTGTACACGTCTAAAGAAAAATCAGAACATATGTGGTTAAATTAGAAAAGGAAAATACAAATGGGAGAGTTGGCCATGCCTTGATCTAACATCTGTAATAGGTCGACCTTTACGAGTTCAATAAAAGGGAAGGTGTATGTCAACCATCATTACATAAATGTTAACAATAAATGTGACATCTGTTAAATGGCACTCACTGCAATAAACAAAATATGGTGGAGGCAAACAGGTGT